CGTGAGTGCTCGAGTCGAGTGAATGAGTTTCTGAATGAGTGAGTGAGTGAGTCAGGGAGTGATTGAGTGAGTGAGTTCGTGAGTGCATGCGAGTGCGTGAGTGAGTAAATGAAGGGAGTGCGTGAGTGAGCGAGTGAGTGCGTGCGGGAGTGCGCGCGTGAGTGAGTGTGTGAGTGCCTTTGTGCGTGAGTGAGCGAGTGCGTGCCTTTGTGCGTGAGTGAGTCAGTCACTGAGTGAGCGAGCGAGTGAGTGAGTGAGTGAGGGAGCGAGGCATGAGGCAGCGAGCAAGCGAGCTTATGAGTGAATAAATGGGGTGAGTGAGTGAGCGAGTGAGTGAGTGCGGGAGTGCGGGAGTGAATGAGTGAGTGAGTGAGCGTGTGAGTGCCTGAGTGCGTGAGTGCGTGGGTGAGCGAGTGCGTGCATTAGTGCGTGAGTGAGTGAGTCAGTGAGTGAGTGAGTGAGCAGAGACGCCTGCCGCCTGCCTCTCAGGTTTTTTTGGGGCCCCGACTTGCTTATGCAGGACGGCACTCACTTTACGCAAACAAGCCACAGAACCTGGCGCGACCACAGAGGCAGCAAACTCACAAAGCCGGTCGACACGGGCCTGTCCAGCTGGCTCACGCAAGTTGGTGCGAGACCCTGCTTGTCTTTTTCAGACTATGCAGGCTCCGCGACAGGCAGCTGGAAATCTTCTTTGTCGTCTTGCCGGGTCTCCATCACCCCTGGCTCGACAACTCTGGTGCCCGCGATCTCGCTGGGGGAAGCTTTGGCGGATCGGCACACGGTTGTCAAGATGGACATCGAGGGATCCGAGCTTCAACTTCTGGCCCAGCGCCGAGACTGGAAGAACACCCGCCTTCTTATCGTCGAGTTCAGTGCAGGGCGCTGCCGCCGCTTCGGCGCGGGCCCGCTGCCATTCGCTGGCGTACTTGACTCCTTGAAGGCCGGCGGGTTCACCCACTTGCATCTCGAACGGAGCGTCACTGCGAAAACTTTTTGGACTCGCGAGAATAACCTGGCTGCTAGCCTTGACTTCATGGCGTTTTTTTACCGAAGGCAGGCTGGCCATCCGATGGACACGGGCGCAACAGCGCGCATGGCGGCTTTGATGGAGGGCCTTCCGGCCAAACTCCGCGCTCTGGACGGATACCCGCAGGCCAAGGATGGGCTAAACACTTTTGGCATTAAAGCTGTTTGAACATAAGGCGCATGTTCACAGAATGTTTCAACGCTCTAAGCCACCTAAGCCTTCAAGCCACAATGTCTAAACTTTTGTAATGGTTCAAACCTGGCCTGTGGGTCTTAAACATGTTTAGACGAACCCTGCTGCAGGATCCCATGGCGCGGAAGCCACGTGGCAAAAGATCTTCGTCTTCGGTTGCAAGCTGAGCATTGTCCGCGGGTTCAAGCTTCTCAAGCCATGATTGCGGTGCCCCAGCAATTGCACACTGGTGTTCAGCCTTCTGCTTGGGACATCTTGTGTCTGGAGCCTTTGCAATGCGGTGCCCCAGCAATTGTACACTGGTGTTCAGCCTTCTCATGCTGCTTGGGACATCTTGTGTCTGGAGCCTTGGCAAAAGCTGACTGCTAAGAACCCCCGCCATGCCTGGCTTTTGAAGTGATGAGCCCTACGCCCTAAAAGAGCCGAAGCCCAGCCCTCTAGTCCCTTTGCTTGTGGCATGCGCAATGGTAGGGAGCAAGCAGACTATCGGAGTGTCACCATAGCGTGGCTTTTCATGTTGCAGAGCGGGCAGATGAGTGATTCCCCGAACAGCTCGTGAAGCCCACAGCCAGCTACTTCATTGGCCCAGAAATTGCAGGAGGCCACTTGTTAGTGCAGGGAGAATCATTGCTGTCTCGAGGCGGCCACTCTTTGGTGAACCATCGGCTGCCAGGCCCTCACACTCACTCCACTTGCTTGGGCCTTGCTGTGCAAAATGGCCCTTTGCCAGGTATGTCTTGGTGGAATCATGTTTGAACCTCAGCTTTTTAGTGGAGTTTTCAGTGGAGTGCGTATTCTCTCATTTGCTCCACTTCTGCTCCAGATCAAAGAGGGGGAGTGCAATCGGACATACACAGAAAGCACCAGGGCCAGCCGGCAATGAGAGTGTGTACTTGCATGTCGCATCATATCCATGCTTGACCTGACCGTGGGGCTCGAACTGGCCGGGTGACCGGGTGGCCGAGCCCAGTCGGTCCGGTTGAGTCTGTGCCAACACTGAAGTGCTCCAGAGGTCAGCCACGGATCCTCCGACTCTGATGCGCGTGGAGGCGGGAGGCTGCGTCTGCCGCAAGCGTTGACTCATGAAGACACTTTTTGCTACCCGTGACAACAATCTGGAGCCTATACGACACTTTTTGCTACCCTGCGGTGGGAAGTGCCTGCCTTAATCTGTGATTCTTAATTGGTTGTGCATGTGGATACTTCATTGGGTGAACGGCATTTTGCAGAGCAGTTGACGAGAGCATCAACTTTTACAGTGCCACACTGTGATGTCGTGTGCCGTTCTTAGACAGCGGGTCGTGTGATCGATAACGAAATGTGCCGACTACTCGTGCGAATTCACTGGGATGTCACCCCAGCATTTGGTGTCCTGCCCTGCAGGGATAGTTAGCCTTTGTTGCATGGCCTGGCCAAAACGGAAGGAGGAGGCCAAGGCAAAGCGGCAGAGCCACACTGCCGGGAGGACCTTGAGCTTGAACGTAGACGGGGCTTGTCGCTTGGACTGCCAGCGCAAGCTGAGCAAGAAGCGAGCGGTGCCCGCCTTTCCACTGGCGCCTTCAAAAAGCAAGACGCCCAGTTTCGATAGCCAATCTCTGTTTGCCAATTGGACAGATTTCAGATGGCATGTATGTTGCTGCAAGTTTGCACGTGACATCCGCTTTCGCTTGTTTTGGGGTCTCAAGCCGTGCAAACGTTGCGAAAACTTCTCTGAAGCTGTTTTAGTTGTCGGAAACGTGGCATGTGCTTGCATCGCCAACGCACCAGCAGGGCTGAATCACTGAAATCGCTCGGGATCGCAGAGGTTTGTTGAGTGTCTCGGCGAGGTCACTTCAATCTTGGCCCAAAAAGTCATGTAAAAGCATTAGATGAACAAACACGAATACGAACGGAGAAGGATCGAGAAGCTGCGTAGCAGGGTCCACCTAGCAGACTGCAGCAATGGGTTGATGTGTCGAAGCGCCGAAGCGATATGCCCCCTGTGCCACTTGGCTTTTTGAGGGACAGTACGTCAGAGCCCACAGCAAATCTCACCAGGGCCGAGGAGGAGACCAACGTCCGCGTGGCGGCTAGAGTTCGGCCGCTTCTAGCCCGTGACACAGCACAGATGCCCAGATGAAGTTTGGAGGCTCCAAAGCGTTACGCGAAGCACGAGCTTGGTGACAGCCGTCTGCAGTCGTCAAATATCCGAGCTGAGGAACTACTGCAGCTGTGTTTCTGCTCAGCCTGGGGGGAACCAGCTGGTTGTCGGCACCAAGCGATCTTTTACGTGCCTTGACTCTGAGTAGCCAGTTCGTTTGGGCACGCTCAGTGGCAGAGTCGGTGCTTGAGCCTCAGCTCCTCAAGTCCGAGCTGATTCCGAAGCTCGGTGAGCAGGGTGCCGACAGAGGTTTGACTTGGTGTTTGAGACGGACGCAAGCCAAACAGCTGTCTATGATGGCTGCGTATCATCCTTGCTGGATGGCTGCATGCTCCTCCTCAGCACTTAGAAAGCTTGTGGAGGTTCGATGTACTTGTGCCACGCAAGTACACGAGGCAGGGCTACAATGCAACTGTTTTCGCTTATGGGCAAACAGGATCGGGGCATGGCTGCAAAGAGGCATCGCCATTTCTACCAGGAACTGCTGGGTTCTGCCTGCAGGTTCTGGCAAAACCTACACAATGGGTACGGGTCAATGGGCATCGGAGGGCAGTGCTGAGGAGGGCATTGTTCCGAAGGCTCCCTACTTTGGGTGTTGCAGAAGTACACTTTGCAGAGCCGGTAGGTTCACAAAAGTGGTGTGTGGAGGTTATTCGGAACAGCTTCCGACACATCGAGGCAAACAGCTCGGCGATCGACTTCAAAGTTCTGGACTCTGTTGCGTGTAGAGCCTGTACGTAACCCACAAGCTTGACGTCATTGCCCACACTTTCGAGGTTTCATGCTGTTATCTTGAGATCTACAATGAAGACATTCGAGACTTGCTGCAGCCTGGAGGCCGGCTCTACCCGCAAAACTGCAAACCAAACTCATCCAGCTAAAAACGGTTTGTGGTCTCGCAAGGTCACAAAGGTCCGATAGCCATCAGGGAAGATGCTGCGGGTGGCATCAAAGTCTCTGGCATCCACGCAGAAACGTGCACTTCCGCAGAGGAGATGTTCCGTTGCCTCAGTGATGGCTCCGTGCAGAGAACCACCGGTGCCACGCTCATGAATGAGCAGAGCTCCAGGCGCCGAACCGATTTGGAACGTGTGCCATCGGTTCTTTCAGAGACCTTCCGATTGCGCACCGGCTCAGTTACATGTTGCAGCATGTTGCAGTTTGTCAAGGCTTTCAAGTTTGTACCTGAAGGTCTCATTCAATCTTCACTCTGATCTTGGAGCAGCGTCGTCGAATAGGAGGAGGAGATGCATGGAGCGAGGAGGATTACGTGACAGCCAAGTTTCACCTCGTGGACCTCGCAGGGTCTGAGCGCGCAAAGCGCAACCAAGCTGAAACTATCACATCATATCATTCGCAGTGCTTTGTCCCACACTTGGAAATTTGAGGCACCGGTGCAGTTGGCAATCGCTTCAAGGAGAGCATTTCCATAAACTCTGGCCTGTTAGCGCTGGGAAATGTGATATCTGCCTTGGGCGATCCTGCAAAGCGAGGCAGCGATGCACTGCATTGTTAGACGGAGGGGTGGGGGTTGAGGCGGGTGAACCTTCCTGCAACATGCTGCCGTTCTCAGGTAGCCACGTGCCTTATCGCGAATCGAAGTTGACGAGGCTGCTGCAGGACAGCCTGGGTGGGAATTCAAGGACCGTGACTTGATCCTATGTGGACTCGGTGGGGTCAGCTGTAGGTGGGCCAACTTTTGTGATATTTTTTTGGAACTGGTATTATTAAGTTAATTTAACTTGTATGCTGAGGGTTTCTATTTTTTTCTGCTGTGCACCTTCATGTCTCCCCATTGACCTCCATGTCTCCATCCCGTTGTCGACATGTTTTTGTCTTATGCGCATGGGTTCTCCTCATGCCTGAATTTTATCCTTTTATGCTACCGGTTTCTATTTATGCCAATCTGACTTGTTTTTAATGCTGCACCCTTACGTTGTTATGCTCCAATGACAGGAAGAAAGAAAGAATCACAAAAAGAAAGAGACAACTAACAAAAGAGGCAAAGAAGGAAGGAAAATAGCAGACTGAGGAACGAGACGAAATACTAAAGAACGCAAGGACGAAATATCATTAAAGAACGAAAGGACGAACTACACAACAAAAGAAAGAATGAACAACATAAATAAATCATGAAAGAACCAGAGAAAGAAATAAATAGAGACATAAATAAGTAAATAAAGTAAGAACAGAAGACGGACAGAACTAAATACACATAAACAGAACGAGCGACATAATGAAGGAGAGAAAAAACGAAAAACGGAAAGAACTGCACACGCACGAACAGCAAAATAGTGGACGACAGGAAAGAACCATTGACCCAACAAAGCAGGAACTAACTACATAGGTAGAAAAACCATATATTACATGTATATATATATATATATGTTCAGATATACAAATGCATATCAGATGTAGTTTAAAATACATGTTATATATATATATATACTTGTCGAATGTGTGTATATGTTATATATATATATATGTGTGTGTGTGTGTTTGTATGTATACACACACGCCTGTACATACACATACGAAGCATGTATATATACATATCTAAGTATGATGAAACAACATCGCCAAATGCGGGGGGCATGTTTAAGACATGATGAACCGAAGTCGCCAAGTGAGAGAGGCGTGCTTCAGATATATGATGGACCGGAATCGCCAAATGAAGGGGGCGTATTTACGATATATGATGAACCGGAATCGGCAAATGAGGGTGCGTGCCAGTAACTTAAGTGCAAAGCAGGACCCTACAAAGTGTTATCCCCTAATCGCTTGATGCCATTCAAGAAACCTGCAAATCGGAAGTCCCCAAGTGCTTGCTGCAAAGCGGTACCATCACAAAGTGGACTTCCTCACTCGCTTGCTGCAAAGCAGGACCCTACATTCCCCAACGGCTAGGTGCAAAACAGAACCCTACAAACTGTAATCCCCCATTGAGGAGCCTGGAAAGTGTAATTCCTCCTCACTAGAACCCTGACAAGTGTAATTCCCCAATAGCTTGACGCAAGGCCACACCCTGCAGCAATACTAGCTTGACGCCAAACAGAAGCCCCGGAGCTGCCGCAAGCACAACCGCATAAATCATGTTTGTCCAATAGCTGTCTGTAACACATAAGTTTTTCTCTTTTTTATAGTTGTCTTTGAACCCTGATTTTGTTGATACATGTTCACGTGTTTTTGATGCCCCACCCTCCGAGTAACCACTGGTCAAGTGCTGCCAAGCACCTACTACTACACTGCCAAGCACTGCAGCGGATCCCGGACCGAGCCCACAGCAACCATTAGTCTCTGCACTCTTGATGCAACCTGCCAGTACAGATGGGCCAACATGGTTTTTTGCAAGTACTGGCGGATCCCGGAGCACGGCCAAAATTCTGTCCCCCCAATTTACTGGCGGTTCCAGGAGCATGCCGACATGCTGTGCCCCGAGTAATTACTGGCGTCCCAGGAGCATGGCCGGCAGGTCACTGACCCCGCCCCCATCATAAAGAAATACCCAGCGATGCAAACAAAATCCCACAGAAATTCGGTAGCCGTCAGCTGTAGGCATGTTGGAACAGAAGACCTGACGGCTCGAATTGAAGCGCCAAGGTGATGATTGCTTGTGTCAGCTGTGCAGATATCGACTTCGAAGAGACGCTCAACACCTTGAAGTACGCCCACCGTGCGCGAAACATCAAGAACAAGCCCGCGCTCCGACTGCAACGGGAGAGGCAAAGCCGCGGTGTATCGTACGCTGAACCGGTTCTCAGCTTTTCCTCACAAGGTCATCAACCATGATCCCCGCACTGCGCAGTTGGCTGCTATGCAGGCAGCAATCCACTAGCCTAGCTAATATAGATAGCGAGTCTCTGACATGTGCACAGGACGAGATTGTGGCTTTGAGAGAACAGCTTCAGCGCGCCAACGAGGGGTCCTCTGCTGTCGGAGGCAGGAACACCCGGAAGGCATGCGGATCAAAAAAAAACTTAAACAGGATCAACAAAAAAAACTTAATCAGGATCAAAAAAACTAAACTAGTAGTAGTAGAAGTAGTAGTAGTAGTAGTAGTAGTAGTTTTCCTGAAGACCTTGCAGGCCTTAAGCCCCTTTAGGGGTAGGGTTGAGGCTGAAACTCCTTCTGCCCTGCAGCAATGAATTGTTGAGTGTAAGGTATTTCGAGAACGCAATTTACAACATCTAAGCGCCGGACGCGTGTCGCTTGCGGGGTCTACGTAAACAAAACATATAATCATCCGAAGTTTACGCTCAAATCCCTATTTTTCTGCGCTTTCTCCGCTTTCTGCGCTTTGTGCGCTTTCTGCGCTTTTTGCGCTTTCTGCGCTTTCTGCGCTTTTTGCGCTTTCTGCGCTTTCTGCGTTGACATTTGGATGACGCCGGATTTCCAAACTACATTGCAAAAAACGCACGAAAACGAAGGATCCTTTCCTGTTTATTCCTGCCTTCGGGCAAAACAAAACTCTCGCCAATTTTTTTGTAGCCTCCTGTTTATTGCCATCACAACTCCGGCGTTTTTCCACACACGATTGTCAGGGATTTTAAGAAGACTTGGGCAGGGCAGAAGGGCTTATGTAGGTAGGTCAATTGTGGCCGCGCCTATGGCGCATGCGAAAGAGGCTTGCGTTGCTTGGGCAAACACGCAACTGGTTAGCTAGTTGCTATGTGTGTTTTGCAGCTTTCGTGCTATGTTTCCATTGAGCAAGGACGACCATACCGACCATGACGAGAACGACCGTGGCCAGGAAATCACCAAGAGAACAGTAAGGGAGAAACAGAGACCAGCGCAGCAGAAAACTACCGAAATGTTTCCCCCAAGGACTGGCGAATGCTCGAAATCCCTGCCCGCCAAATATTGGCGGGATTCAGACACAATGCAGAGCACGACGAGGTCGCTTCCCAGCAAGTACTGGCAGCTGGCCAGCGCGAAAGTATTATCCGCGAACTACTGGCGCGTTTGGGGCAGGAATCCCGGCCTCGAACTCGTGCTGAAGACGAATCCGTAAATGATAGGACGACCGAGAAACTATATGTCTGGACTGCCGCCGTGTCGGCAGTCGTGCGCCGGTGGCATCCTGTGTAATTTGAGTAGGACGGAGCAGCAGCATGTACTGTAGAAAACAGGACGCGGACACATAGTTTTTTTTTTGATCCGGTTTAAGTTTTTATTTGATCCGTGGGCGACTAAGTTTTTTTTGATCCTGATTAAGTTTTTTTGATCCGGCACCCGGAACACACCAGTCACACCAGGATAGAAGTTGACGAAATCCTCTTCAGTCTGAGGCCCGGCCGACGAAGTGCTGGAACTGAACCACAAGCTCGAGGTGTTCGACTCAGCTTCGGGGGTGGCGAGGGGCGACAGGCAGAAACTGGGACGTGGCCGCGCAGGTTTCTGAGACGCGTTCCTCGGAGCTTGCAGAGCGCCTGGCGGCAACGGAGACCTGGCATTTAGGGGCTTGGCAATGCGTGCGAGCAGAAGAACAGCCGGTAATTGCATGTCTCCTGCAGGAGACAGAGCGTGAAGCCTTTCGAAAGTACTTGGTGGACGTGCAACCTGTCTGTCCAGCATGCTTTCCGGTCTTTAATGCAGGCAGTCGGTATTTCCTGCAGCCCCTGTCACGATGCTCCTATTGTCCTATTGGCACACGAGATACTTGGAAGCTGCATATCCCAGTCCCAGTCAAGCCTGTGCTGTCTCTGCCGGTGCAGCGCGATGAGGTACAGTGCAGTCTGCCAGCATCTGCCGGCCATATGGCAGGTGTGCTGAGTCAGTTGAAAAGTCTTTCGACACAAGCCATCGCATGTTGGGCAGGTCTCAACACGTGAAGCCCCATCTGTGCCTGGGCGACGTGCTCTCGCAGCAGTCTGCCAGGTGCTGCAGGCAACTGACGGTTTGCATCATGCTCTCAGCGTAACGGTGCTGACTGCGTCAGTGCAGATATCCGGATGTGCAAGGTCTATGTGAGAAACGTACTGGAAGAATGCAAGAGGTATGCAGTGTAGGTGCATTCAGGATTCAGTTAGATATTTCAGACCTCACTCGCTGTGTCGGCACGTCTTCACCCAGTCTTGACTGTGCCGATGAGAAGGACTCTTTGCATCTCGCGCTGCCCTGTATGTGTTCGCCCACATCCACACCCGCACGCCATGTTTGCAAGACTCTTGCAATGCCCTGTATGTGTTCGCCCACATCCACACCCGCACGCCGTGTTTGCAAGACTCTTGCAAGCGCATTGTCTGGAATCATGAACTTTCTGAATTAAGTGGTGCTGCTAGCTGCTGCTAGCTACGACTAGTTGCACCATGTTGCACCGAAGGCAGCGCATCGACTGCTGAACAGTACTTCGGCGAGAATGCAGCTACGTTTTCAAGGTGCCTCTGTGCCTCGACTTTCGAAGGATTCGTGCCATGAGGCGAAGCGGATCTGCCTGTCGACGAGACGCATGCGTCGCAGACTTCCTCAGATGCTGTGCCTGCTAGCCGGCTTCCCGCACCCCCATGTCATCTCATCCAGGACCTCCAGGACTCCAGGATTCTGCAGATGTGAAAGACTTCCGTTTCGCAGGAGCGAGCTCCGGAGCTGACATCGGGTGAATCTGTTAATGGCGTGCCATCGCTGTCAAACACTGCGCCGCAACTCGGGGAACCGAACAAGCTACAGTTCCTTGGCTGTTGCCTTTGCTTGTTCCTGTCACGATGGCCGAGACTGGCTTGTGAGGTCTTTGTCGGAGATGCGCAAGGATTCGACGACACTGATTCGTAAGTACCTGGACGAGATGAAGCGCCTGGAACAAGAGCTGGCACTGTATCGGCGAGGCAACAAGCAGCTCAAAGAGGAGCTAAAGGAGGCCAAGGATGATCTGCAGAAGGATGAGGAGATCTTCGAAGAGAAAATGCGCGAGATGAAGGAGTACGGAAACGAGAGCAGAGAGCTAGCAAGAGAAGACATGGCTGCATGTCTGTGTTATTTCTCTTGGCTGTGTGGGTGCCTCAGGAGTTGACGGAACGCAATGCCTTTCTAGAAGAGATGCACACGGAGAGCAAACCTCTAAGTCCAGATTCACGGGCCGGCAGCAAGGAGGGGCCGAATGCGTTTGCCATCCAGCTCAGTGCCTGGACTTGCCATTGTATCGGCAGTAGCCTCTTTGCGCATACCGTTGAACATCCTTTTGTGTTTGCCCGTTTCATGGGCCGGTACTAGCGAAGGCGAGCTTGACGATGGCCCGGGACTGAGTTCGACCTCGCCAGCCGCACCTGTCCCTGGACCAGAAGATGGTGAAGTTGACGTGTCCAAGCCATGTGACTTGGAGGTGGGGCCGATTCTGATGGTACAAAGAGGGATTGGACTTATTCTAGGAGTCCAGGCGGCCAGGCAAAAGTTAAAGTTCGCAACCATTGCAGGAACCCAGCAGCAGGCAGAGTTTCTTCTTTTGAAAAAACGCTTCGGCTTGCCAGAACAACCACAACACCTCACCATCGTGATTTCCGTGTGGGCTGCGCGTGCTTATGGCCCTGTTTGCGTGCTCCCCTCGTCCCCCGTCCCTGCAAAGCTTCTAAGGTGTTATGCCAACGGTTTTCGTTTGATGTTCTGCGAATGGTTGTCTTTTTGTTCCTTCCTTATGCACACCCCTTCCCCCTCCTTGCTTATGCGGCATGTATTGGATGCCGCATCACGGGTCGGACATGACAAGTATTTCGTGAGGTGTTGGTAGTCGTTCTAGAATTTGTGGTTCAGGTTGTTCCTGCTGTCCGGGCGTCATGACCCTGTTCAGTTCGCACTACAGTCATTCGGCCTTGAGCTTTCCTACTGTATTGCGTTACGACCACTTCGTCAAGTCTCGGGAGCCATGGCCAATCTGGTCGAAGCTTTCGGTGTAACTTGAAGTGGCTTAGCCGCATGTTCCTCGGCTATGGCTTTGCCTTTGCGGCTCCAGTGGCAAGGTGTCCCAGCGGTCTGTTCTGCGTTTTTTTTTACAAGACATGCCGTGGCGGCCGTGGAACGAGGTGGGGGCCGGTGGGGGCGGGGCTGTGTTCACTTCGCTTGCTGCATACTTCTTGCATTTCCGGCTTCATCTTCGGTTTGGTTCCAATCATTTCCGACATCATTCCTGCTTGCAGACTTGATGCACTTCCGTCATTTCCGGCTTCATCAATGCTGCAGCGAGAGATGAAGCGGGAAATGACGGAACAGCACCAATTCCACAACCAGAACTGAAGCCTGGTTGAAAAATATGGAAACCAAAACGGAAATTCAGCCGCGAATGTAATTCTGCTGAACAAGACACGAAGAGAAGCGAGGCATAACGGAAATGTTAGTTATGCAGCGGAACATGATTGTGCGAATCGTCGGCGCGAGCACGGCAACCCCAGTCTGAAAGAAGCCAGAAGCAAGCAGTGAGAGCCGGGAAATTGCGTCGAGCATGGCGGAAATTCGTGAATCTTGAGGCCAGAACTGACAGCAGAATGAATTCCGCAACCAAACAACCACATCGGAGATAATGAGAAGTTAAGTCGGAATTTTTTTGGTCATTTCTGCGGGCAAAAACAAGAGGCCAACGATGGCTGGTACTAGCATGGACATAAAGCTGGAAGTGTCAGAAAACCAACACTGCAGCCGAAATGAAGCGAGAGAACCGACATGAACACGGACATGAAGTCGGTGACGGACATCCATCGACTCGAGGTGAGCCGTGTGCTTTGTGGCTGTGGTGGCCAGCCGAAGCGCTCCATTTCTTTTTTGTTTTCTCTTATCGGTTATTTCCTGCTTCATCGCCGGTTTCATTGTGGTACATTTTCCAGCTCAATGTTTGGGAGACCGCGCCGGTTTCATTGCAGTGATCGTATCGGTCATTTTCCTCCATTTCCTTGTTCTTCTTTTTCGCATACATTTCCGTAGTTCTCGCAATCCGATCTTTTCATCTCTGGAAAAGTCTGGAAACATGTTCGGCCTAGCATCGAAAAATTGTCATTTATCGCTGGGTGCCTTGTAACATATGCTGAAATCCAACGGTATTGCTGTTGCGAATCTCCGACTGACATGCAGAGCTCCGTCCCTGTTCATGATCACGCATTTGACGGTAGCCTCGGGTGCGGACAGCCGGAGCTCATGTCGTCATGTGGCCTGGACATCTGCTAGAACACCGTGTCAGGATACGCGGGCATCGCAGCAGCACTTGAGAGAGCAGATGCAGTCGCTTCTGGGTCTCAAGATGCAGGGTTTTGCTAGATCCAGCAATCAGCACCCGGCTCTTGTCGCCTCAGAGTGTTTTTGCGTTTGGATCTGGATGTTCCCCTTCGTCTTCACTTCATGGAGCGTTCTCGTTTGTCGGTTTCGAAGAGCCATGTAAGTCTGGAATAGTCTGGAGAGTTCTTCCATCGCGCCGCTTTGTGCAGCCAAGGCTGTCACAGAACGTGCTGCTCAAGGTCTTGTCGGGGATAGAGGGGACTTCAGAACCTGAGATGGTTTCCAGTCATGCCGATGGAGCTGGCTTTCGAGATCTTTCGGGGTTCGAGATGCTACGCTCCGCGAGTTCTTGTTTGCTTAAGCAGATTTCGAGGCAGTACGAAAGTGGTCTGTCATCGCGAGGAAGACCTCATCGAGGAACTGATGCGCAGCGAGCGCGAGTGGGGCATTGCACGCCAGCAGTACCAAGCCCGGATGGAGCAGCTCCAATCCGAGCTCGAAGAGACGCAGCGTCAGCTGGACACTGTCAAGGTTCGGCCTTGTGTAGGCTGCGTTAGGCTGCAGAGAGGCCCTGATCTGAAGAGCTGCGCGATGGAAGGTGCGGTTGCAGCAATCTGAGATGCTGGAGGAGAAAGCCAGGCCCAGGGCCGAAAGAGCTGAAGGCAGGCTGAAGGGTTTGAGGGGCGCATTCCCGATGAGGCTTTCAAGCGAAGAAGAGAAGCGCCGCCTGGAGCGTCAAGTCAACGAGCAGATGGATGCACTGAAGAGGAAGCAGCAGGAGTACTCTCGCCTCAAGGCGGGGTACCAAACTCTCTGAGCATGTCTCCGGCACCACCAATGCTATGCGATGCCCTGTTACTTGGTGCAGGACTTGCGACTCAACGAGCGCAAGCGTGTCAAGGACCTGGAGGTTGAGGTCGCGCAGATGCGCCCACTGGCAGCAGCGAGTGCCAGCCTCTTGACATGCTTCGCAGTCCGGCTGTACACAAGGACAGAGTCAGGAGGTTCTGGACCGCAGACTGCAGGCCAGCGAGCATCTCCGATTGGTAGTCGCCTGGCGTTAAGACGCCCAGGTTCTGTGAACGTTGGATAGCCATCGGATAATCAAGTTACGTGTTGCAAAACAGGTGCCAAGCAAGTGTACACTATAGTGCACAATAGCATACGAAATAAGTGTAAATAAAGTGCAACAAAAAAGTCAAAGTGTAAACAAAGTGAGCAAAGTGTAAACACAAAACATTTGAGAAAGCATGTTCCCAAGCGCAACCGTGCAGGGAGCTCTCCAGGCAACACGTAATTTGTTTTCGCACGTGTTTACCCTTTGCTCTTGTGTTACACTGTTTCTTACGTCTTACACTTCTGCATTGTCCCAACCTCTTCTATGTACATGTTATGTTCACTTTATTTATTCTTTGTTGGCAAATAAATAGAATTGGAGGATTCTTAAGCCTAGCAGAACAGCAGACAGCCTGGCGCCCGTGAGTCGACCCGAGACGCAGGTTCTCGGTAATGCATCGTGCTTCGGAGGAGATCCGAAACGGCTGTCCACTTTAATCTTGCAGTCGACCTGCTTTGGTTCGGGACCTTGGGCAGGCGGAGCGCAGGAGGGAGGCCTACCAGATTGCGGAGCTGCAGCGGAGGCTGACTCGTGAGGGCCAGAAGGCGCATTTTGCAGACGCTTCGTTGCGGTAACAATTTGGGTGCCAAGCGAAAAGTCAGCTAGGAAGCTCTGCTGGTTTACTTTCCGCAGGTGAAAGATCTCGAGGTGGGCTACAATAGACTTAATAGAGTGAATAGAAAGTTCGTGAGAGGTGGGGTTGTTTCCTGGAGGCCAAAGTGGGCCACACCAAAAGGCCGGCACCATCGGCCGCTTTGTCCCGGAAGAACTCTGGCGGTGTGGACCGGCCCGGCAGCGGCAGCCGTGGCTACACCCCAACTTCGGGGTCTGAGTCTGTTACAGAGCGCAGCACTCCAGGCCAGAGGCCTAGACGGGCTAGACAGCATGGGTCCGTTTTCTGGCCACAGTCGAAGGCAACGGAAATGCTACTTCATCGTCCTCTCGCTGGCAGCACTTGGAACACCAGCTAGACGAACACATCCGGATCCTGGAGGCAAGCCGAACGCCAAGCAGTCGGGAAGGGGCAAACACTTCTTGCAAGCTCGCAGAAGCCTCGCAGGCGACCCAAGGCCTCGAGGAGGAGCGCGAGTCTTCATTGCCCAATCTAGAGTTGCTGAGCGAGCGCGCAGGACTTGCGAAAGCAGGATGCCTTGCAAAGAAAGCGTGAGCAGTACATGAACTACCGGCGGAGCCCAGATGGCAGTTAGCATGTGCTAGGCCTGAACACATTTGCACCACACCAGCATGGCAAGGAAGATCGCCGCCAAAGACCTCACTGAGCAGCAGGCTGGGAAACGCTCGAGACATTTGGCTGCCTGACATCAAACGTTTGCGATGCAGGAGTCCACAGAGCGAATGGCACAGCTAGAAGCAGAAGCAGCGAGACACGAGTTTGCGACTGAGTGCGAGGGTCTTTTGGGATGGTTACTGAAGCTTGGATCTGAACACAGAGCCGTGCGACCTTGAGGCAGGCCTTGCACGACCCCTCGGCCTTGCCCGATGCTGCCTCCCGAGCACGCGTCGAGCACAGTCGACATGCCGTCAAGGCCGTAGTTCGTATCCCGCAACGTCCGGGGACGGCAAAATCAAAGCCCACACCCCGCCACCACCATCGTAGGATGGACAAGATATGGACAAGTGTCTTTTGCATCGTCAGCGCGAGAAACAGGAGGAGCAGGCAGAGCTACAGCGCAACGTGCAGCGGAAGCATGCGGAAGGGCTCAGAATCTCGGCATTTCTTATGGTCGCCGAAGGCGGAAGTTCTGAGGCATTGGCAAACGTGACGAGCTGGCGGCAAGTGTGCTCTCGCAAGGTATCCTTCACGACATTGATGAGCGGCTGGAGGGCTTGAACGACGAGCTCGACTTTCGGAAAGATCGCATTTCGAAGGCTTGGCTCGCTGCACTCGGCAAATCTCGGCAACCTCTCGGCAACCTCTCGGCAACTCGCGAGCCAACGTGGCCAAAGGTTCAGCAGTACTTGCGCTCCACAGCCGCTGGGGCGGGGCAGCTGGATGCCGAGCTCGAGCGGATCCCGGCTGAGGATGGTAAGGAGCTTTTGCGCCGCGACCTGGCTTCTGTTGTTGCTTGTCATGCCGGTTACATAACCCTGGTCAGCAAAGGCTATTGCGAGAAGCTCGTGAAACTTCGGCAAAGGGAGAAGCAGCAACTTCGCTTGAATTCAACAGCTGGTCCTGCATCTTGCACCTTGCACCGAGCCGAATTGTCGAAAAGCCCTTTGCAAGTGAATGCCATCTATGATGGCGAGTATGGGGTGTGACGCGCAATCACAGCTTTCTGTTTGCAGTCCTACAGACCTGCGGATCACCTCGGCTTGCTGCATCGAGGAAATCTCGCAAGATGCGGACACCGTGCAACATGTTCTTGAGTTCAGGCGTATTTAGTCGGTTAGGAGGCCTCACGAGATATGTCAATTTAGCAGGTTCATGTGCCATCATGTGCCTCCGTGAGCCGCCTTTTCTTCTCTTGGCGGAAGTCCATAGCTGGACACAGACCTTTCATTCGATCTAGACTAGAACTCTGTCCGGGGGCTGTGCGTGCAGAAGTAGGTGGAAGGGCTGCGGAGTTCGGTTACTCCGCGAAATCTCCGCGAGGAACCAACGAATCCTTTAGCTGCCGTGTATTTCGTAAAGGACTTCTTGCTCTTAAGGAACGGGTCGCTGGCAACACTGTCCTTGAAAGGGCACGCGGTAGGGACAAATGCAGTGACTCAGACACGTCGAGGCGCGGAAGGCTGAGAAAAAAGCAGAGAGCCGGCGCAGTCAAAGGCATTTCTTCTTGGACCTCCAGGCACTGGCAGCGGCTGGAGGCTGCAGAAGCGCAGCTGGAAGAACGAGCTCGGCAGGCTGAGCTTTCTGAAATTCTGGGCATTCAAAGAATTCAGTAAGAGAATTCGCCATCCATCCAATCCTCGTACCAGTAGCTCTTCTTCCGCCGTTCCCATATCTAGCCGCTATCAGCTTCATCATCTTGCAGATGCGACGAGCAGATGCCTGTGCAATCCTGTGCAACTAGCTAGCCGACACTCCGTGGACCAAGCTGTGGCTGTGCAGATCGCAGAGCTGCAGACTGTTCTGCGGCGCCAAGACTCCAATGCGACGAAGGCAAGACTTGGCAACTAGCATGCTCGCTGCAAGGTGCCTGTGGTGATGCTGTTGCAAGAACTTTTCAAGCTGCAAGGCCATCGCCCGAGTGACGAAAGAGTATGAAGCTCGAATACGACAACTGCTTCGCACCTGCCCTAGATGACGAATCGTGCGTATACGAGCATTCTGTGCTGCAGTTTTTTTCAGATGCCCCGAGCCAAGGCCAGCTTTCTGTTTCTCGGTTTGCAGAGCTCGGTCCAGACGGTCTCAGAAAGGGTGACATGAATTCTGAGACTGGCAGTGGCCCTCCCAAGCGTATATGCTTTCTACACGTGTAGTCTTCTCTGGGGCTAAGGCGCAGCAAAGCGATTCACGCTCAGATGAGCCAAGCTTTGCTTCAGCATCGGGAGACGTCGAGGAGGTGGAAGCTGTGACGTCACATGTTTGGCTGGGCATCTGCAGGTTTCTGCTCCAGGTCTGTGTGTTCTTGATGCACACTGCACAGGGCGCACTCGGGTTCGGTATTGCATGATGTACGGCTCAAGCTTTTTCGGCAAGAACCGTGAAGTGGCCACCAGAAACCTGGAAGGGCCATTTTGTGCCAGTCGCTTTGCATTGCCGGTTGGGCGGACCACATGCAAGGGGAGGTTGCTGAATCCGGGCCAGGAACTCCTGCATCCACTGTCGATGCAGACGGCGTCTCTCCAGCATTTCGTGCTATGCTCATGGAGCTCGAGGCCGTGCATCTGGAAGAGACCAGGAAGCTTCGGGCCGAAGTCGCGGCGCTGTGCAGACTGAGTGCCATGCAACCTTTTCCTCGCATGTCCCCACCAGTGCAGCCCATCTCGCGAGAAATCTCCCGCGATCCTGTCTCGGAGAGGTGTCTCGTCAGGGAGTCATGCACTATCGTGGAGAAGGACGAGGCATGTGAGGATGCTGCGCAAGTCCTTGAGCGGCCAGCACAGGATGCAGATCAAACAACAGCAGACACTGCGGCTTCGAACGAGAAGCGCATCCTTCATTCTCAGCAGAGCAAGGAGCCTGGGCCAGAGGCCCAATTCCGAAAGGGTTTCTCAGCTTCGAGCATCGCAAACTCGATTCTCTCCCTCGCATCTCTGCACTCAAATCAAGTTCCCCTCGACCTGGGTGATGACTCCGAGCTCGTAGCCACCAGAGATGTCGACAGAGCGTTCTATGAGCGCTTCGGCAATGTTTTCATGGGAAACAGCTTCGAGATGGGCATCGCGGTGCTGCTCTTGTTTAATATAATGCTAATGGCGGCACAGCTGCAATACCATGGTTTCAATATCGGATACACAATCAGATATCCCAGCTACGTGGAGCCAGCTCATGTTTATTGGCCGTACGTCGAAGACATGTTCTTTGCGGGAGACGTGCTCTTCGCCGTGATCTTCACAGTGGAGATGTTGATCCGACTCTTTTGGATCCGTTGTTTTGCCTTCTTCAAGCATTGGCTGAACTGGATAGATTTCGTTGTGGTTTGCAGCTCTTGGGCCGAGTTGTTTGCAGCTGCACTGCCCATCAGCCCCACTTTTCTGCGCATGCTGCGCCTGGGGAAGCTCTTGAGAGCCCTACGCGTTGTGAAGATGTCGCAGGTTCTTGAGTCATTGCAGCTACTGCTCAAGTGTATCGCAGCCAGCGTCCGGATTCTCTTCTGGTCCTTGGTCCTCCTGATGATCATTCAATGCAGTGCAGGGATGACTATCTCGTATATGGTCAGTGATTTCATGGTAGACCCTGCTGTGGACGAGGAAAAAAAGTTCGCAGTTTTTCGGTATTATGGAACATTTTCCAAGACACTGCTGACGATGTTTGAAGTGTTGTTTGCCAATTGGGCACCTGCATGTAGAGTGCTCATGGACAATGTCAGCGAGTGGTATTCCACAGTCTTCATCATTTACCGGTGCTTTGTGGGCTTTGCCGTGTTGCATCTTGGACATCGAATATGGCACAGATCTTCGCTTCCCGCACGCCCCCAGCCCGCCCTACCATCCCCAACAAGGCAGAGTAGACACGCAGGCCTGACTATGTCTGTAGCGTAGGCCTTTATCATTTATCAGCGCGTGACCTTGTTTTTTGACCCTGGCTTTATACTTTTGGAATCCCTAACGTTCAATACTGTGCACCAGGTTACAGTTTGGCTTTGACCCATCACCCCCCCCCTTTCACACGTGTCCGGAATCTCAGGAACGTTGTCAATGCGGTCTTCGTGCAGAGTACCATGAAGGTAGCTCAGGCAGATGATGAGTTTTTGGCGGCAGAGAAGCAAAGACAACAGGATGCATACCGCAAGAGATTGACGAACCTTTTCAAGCAAGTAGATTCTTCTGGAGATGGCAAGATCGACATTGAAGAGTTTGGCTTCCTGTTGGAAAATCCAAAGCTTCAAGTCTGGATGGGACAGCTTGAAATAGAGACAACCGATCTAGTTGGCCTTTTCCAGATGCTCGATGACGGTGATGGTGAGATTTCACTTGAAGAGTTTGAGGCGGGCATCATGCGCATGAAGGGATATGCCCGCAGCTTTGATCTGAACAAGATTGAGCGTGAGATGCAAAAGATGCAGGCAAAGGTCGATTTGCTGCTGAATATGAAAGGAGCTGGTTCCCTGAAGCCTCCCAGAAAGGTAGCCATTTCGCCCAAGGCGCTGTCGCCGGTAGTGCGCATAGGCTCAGGCCCATCAGTGTGATTTGTTTGTGGTTTCACCTGCGTAGTGATTTTCAAGTCTTGGAGCGAAGCCGTGTGCTGTGTAGAGGAGACATGCAAAATCGGTTCCGGCGTGCGTGCCAGCATGCACATTACTCGGAATTTCGTCCTTCAACCACATGCTCATTCTGCCAATTGTGCAAGTTCTCGGAAGGTGGAGCAAGTGAAGCGCCAGATGCTCAAGCCACCAGAAGCTGCTGGACTGCAGCCATCGCCCGCAGCTGAGGCGACAACCAGTACTACAAGGCCGTGAATCGCGAGCTGAAGAAAAGGCTGCGGTCGCTGCTCGAGCAACGCTGGGAGGTGCCAAGCGACGGTCAAAGCAGTCGCTTCCGACTTGTTCATGGAAGTTTGTGTTAAGTGTGTCCTCAGGGAAATGCGCCGAGTCGAACACCCCGCTTCATGCCCACCAGTGAGGCATTCCGTGCTGCTTTCTTCTTGTCTCCAGCCAAGCAACCCCAACACATGAGTAGCTGGCTAGCATTGGAAGGACAGAGCACAGTCCAAGTGATCTGGCTTGGGCGATTCTCCTGACATGTGCGATGGGACTATCCCCAAAGCTGTCTTCTACAGTCGTGACGTCCTGCCCAGTGACGCCTGGTTCCACGTCTCCATTTGAGTTCAGACGAAGTGAAGTATGTTCTGTGCATAAATATGCACAAAACAGATACAAGTGTAGATATATGGATATGCATGCGAACGTAAGTGTGGTGTCCTAGTTGATACCGTAAGAACAGCTGGCATTATGGGAACCGACGTAGACTAGTCAAAGCTGCTTCCAAGAGTGAAGCATGTTTGTAATGCTGATTGTGCAACTGCGTTTCTGCTTGGCTCGACACCCCAAAATAAAGACGGGTGACGAGCACCTGAATTTGTGTTAGTGTTTTGCATGGCATTCCTCAGAAGCTGAGCTGCGGGAGTGAGGTGCAACAAGATGCCGTGCCAAGCTGGGTCGCTAGGGTTGGCTGTGATTTGATTTTTGAGGATGCACCTCTCCAAATGGCTTTTCAGGACCATGGTAGCTCATTTGCCAATGAGAGTTTCCCGCAGAGCGCAGAAGAATCGCAAGCAGGCAGTAGCAGCAGCTGTTGCAGCAGTACGCATCGATCGGTTCGGCGGTCGGTGAGTTCGACACTGTTCCCACGAGGAAGCAGCCGAATTCCTTTGCCTTCATGCTTGAATGGTTTTTTCTCTGCAGCTTCGTTGCTGCCGGCTCTTTACCATCCACGAGTTCCCTTCCCGACGGCCTGGTGCCGCAGACACAGGAGCTGACTGACGTGGCAAGACGGACAGCCAGGACGGGCTGCAAGGGCAGTGGAATGCTTTGACGCATGCAAAGGTAGGACTGAACCAGTTTACTCGGTGACGGAAGTCGACTGCTGCATCATGTCTTTCTTGTGCTGCTACTCCGTAAAACTTGTCCGCTGCGCCCAATAATACTGCAGGTTCTTGTCTTGCCGTGTATGCGAGGAAAGAGCTACGCACTCAGTCTGGCGAAGTTTGCGGCTCGAAGTTGCCGTTTGCCTGAGGCACACGAATCTGCATTCATAGATATTCATAGCATACAGGTAACGTCGTTGCTGGCAATCTTCCGCAGCGAAATCGAGCACCTTGCCGTCTGAGGCTGATGCTTTGACCGTATTTCAATATTTTGGAGCGCATGTGCGGTCTAGCACGAGCGTCGAAAGCAGATAAGGAAAGCTTATTCCGTGGATGAGGATTGGGCAGAAAAACTGCCTGAAGGAATGGGAAGTGCCAGGCAGCTGTGCTGCTTTGCTGACCAGAACAAAAGCCAGCAGCTGGTCTTTGCTGCAGCTGGCGAGTCGCAGCACCCCACGCAGTCACAGCAGATTCTTGCAGCTCAGGCGACATGAAAGACTTGTCGAAACTCGGCATGCACAGGTGTCATTCAATGCCTTCCAAGCCGACTCATCGGGCTTAGTGGACCTATTGCTGACAGATCAAGGGCACTACTGCTCGGACAGCGGTTGGACATCGACCTCCACGATGATGGTTCGGCATCCCTAAAGAAGGCCGGATTCGTGGCCGTGGTCGCGCCAAAATGACGAGAGCAGTTGCCATGGCCGTCAGCAGTGGCAGCCGTGACTATTCTTGGGTACAGGCCGTCGTCACCCAAGAGGTGTTCTACCCGGCCTCCCAGCTTTGCAACAGTTTCCTTTCGCGTGTGGGGTGGCTTCGGACAGTCTGAGAGCACACATAGCATGTCAAAGGAGACACTGCACAGCGAGAAGTTCCACTACAAGTCCTACATGGTACAGCACGCTTGCATGAAAGCTTTCGATGATATGGAGCTTATTGCAGATGCTGTGGCTCGTGCCTACGAAGGAGGGCCAAAGAAAAGTCTAGGCCCTAGACCAACGTTCTCGCATTCCTTGTGCCATAGTCACAGGCGCACGGCGCAGAGGCGCCTCAGATGCGTTGCTCGGCTTGTCTGGTTCAGAAAATTTTTACAAACACACCTGCTCTGTGACGATGTTGATTCTGCAAGTAGTAAAGAGAGCTTTGTTACTGCAGTGGCCAGCTGCAAACTACCACAGGCAACTGCTCATGATGCTGAACAGAGCTGGAAGAGCGGCCTGCTCGCAGACACGGGTGCCTTGACTATGTGCAGATTGATGGCAGGGAAGACACAAGAATGGAGACTGAAACATGACCATGGGTGCTGCTTTCTGACTGTCCGTCGCGTCGAGGGCTTGCGTGCGCAGACTTTGGCGTTTCTTCTTTTCGCGCGGGGACCAGTCGCTGTTTGAGGCCTGTGTAGACGAGGGCGAGCTGCGGAAATCGATGGCCGGAGCAAAGCCTCGCCAGAAACGCCCAGCTCACGCAGAGCTCTGATGCCGGAGAAAGAGCATACTGTAGCGTGAAATTTCGAGAGCTCTGAGTCTCAGCAGAAGACGGCAGGCCACCGATCCCCGAACTGCTGTGTTGTGCGAGATCTGGGAGAAGTGAACTCGCAGGCCGTTGAGGCCGACAGTCTACACGACGCACCAAGAGCAGCTCAAGGAATCCGTGCTTCTGCTCTTTCTGCCGCCCCAGATGACTTGGGAGCATGTGCCCCCGCAGAGTCATAGGAAAACGCTTGCCCTCACTCTGTCCGAAAGCTCAAGCTCCAAATTCAGACGATTCCGGCAATTAGAGCGAAAGTGGTTACTGCGCTGAGGCAACGTCTCTTCCTTAGTATGCTTCGTTGGACGTCTGTGCAGGTCTCGTGGTTCCATGGTTCCCACCGCTGCATCCTTTCACGAATAAAGACTCGAGCGAATGGAACGGCGCGTGGATCCGGCAGATGGCGGATCCTACACATTCCAAGCCGTTTACTCAGAGAGACACGCGGGACTCCCACCAACGTGCCAGCCTGCAGTGTGGCCTAGACCTCTGGAGTCGAGCTTGGCTTGGAGGATTTGAGCAGATACTATGCCAAGCAGTACAGCAAACAGGACCTGTAGAGTATTTCAGGGCGGCTGGGACACACCGTCATGGCTTGGCAACGCAGAAGCTATGTATTCATACTGGCATAAAGCCGACTGATTCAGTCCAAATTCAATCAACAGTTTCACTTTCAATTCTGTCTTTTCCAGGTGGATCATGCAGTTCTATTTTGATTCAGCCGTTGAATCACTGAAGCTGCCTATCCCCGTGGCATTTTGCACGAAGGGCGACTTCTAAAGGTTTTTCCATAATGAACCCGCAGACGTGGCACGATAAAGTGCAGGAGGTGGCTTCTTCCCAAACCATTTCTCGTTGCTGGGTGAGAGGGGTGAGAGGGGGGGGGCGGGCAGTCACGTGAGCGGGCGATGTTGAATTGTTTTTGAATTATTTGAATTTTTTGTTGAATTAATTTTGAATTGTAAATTGAATTGAAATTTAGTTATTTCCTAGGGAGGGACAAATTTTCCAGATGTCCAACCACAACCCACCTCCCCCACTAAACCCCCTACCTCCCAGACCCCCCCCCCTCCACACCCCTCCAACTGCCTGCCGTGCCCCGCCCCGCCGCGCCCCGCCCCGCCCCGCCCCGTTGAGGCGGTGGGAGTCCTGTGTCCTGGGTTCTGGTTTGCTGTGGCACTGACGCGGCTGCAAAAAACAAACAGGAGCCTTGCAGCCTTTGCACGTCGACGCGATGGCTGTGGCCCTGGCCAACCTCTAAGCCTTTAACCTGAAGTCTAGCGTCTTTAAATCTAGAATAACTAGAGCGTGAGAGTAGGTCCTATGCGCAGGCCGAAGCTAAATCGAATTCAAAAATCGAGTTGGATTCCAATGCCTCCAAACCGGGTGAATTTAAAACGAATTGCCCAAGCGAATTGAAAACAATTTGAAAACGCAAAAGAAAATAGTTTCGATATTCCCTTCCTACAGGCATTTTCATGTCATAACACTAGAGTATTCCCCTTAGGCAGCAGCTCGTCCATGTAATTAGCTTCTGGATGGACCGGTTTATGTGCAGGAGATTCAGCACTACTGGAACAGTCAGTGCAAGTTGGAGCCTGAGTGAAGTGCGAGTGCAATAGCCTACAGACTTTCTTAGAGTCGGTATTCATCGTCCTTGTGAAAGGAAGTTTGTTTGGGTGGATGCTACTCTTTGCTGTTGGCACCTGTTGGGTCTGGCGACGTAGTGCAACTGAAGAAGGGAGCCCTTCGGCATCTTTCCACGTTCAGCGAGCCATAGAATCAATACTTATCGCCGGCGAGGCCCCTGGCACCAAACACTGCAGTGCGTCGCTCAGTACAGGTGCCGGCCAAGCCCAGTCCACTAGTCGCTTCCGGAATTCCTTAAGTGGCCAAGGCCGTCCTCCAAGACCCGGATCTGGAGCGGCTTGCGCAGGCCAAAGCTCCACGGCTTGAGTACGGTTGGGCTTCGTTCCAGGTTTGGGAAGGCGCGGGATATGTGGGACTTGGGACTCTCCTTAGCTGACGTGGGAGCCTCACCAAGCAGCACCAGAACGGCGATCTTCACGCAGGCTGCGTTGACGAAGACGATTTGCCATCCTCCTCTTCCTCCTCGTAAAGCACTAGAAAGACATTGCTGCTCCTGTCGCCACTACTGCTATTGACTGCCATTGCTCCTGCTCCTGCTCTTGCTGCTCCTGCTCCTGCTCCTGCTCCTGCTCCTTCTCCTTGCTGCTGCTGCTGCACTGCTAGTGCTGCTGCTGCTGCTGGCCAGGCTGCTACGACGACGACGACCACCACCACCACCACCACCACCACCACCACCACCACCACGACCACCACCACCACCACCACCACCACCACCACCACAAGTTCGTTTTTTCTTTGGAACATCAGCAACCCATTCCGGTCGCAAGTGACCCATGCGCAGCCCATGCGTAATTCATGCTTGGTCCCGGCCACGTGGGCTTCGAGAGTGCTTGGGTGGATGAGTTTGTCAATTTCGTGGATGTCTGTGGAATTCGTCGCCCCTGCAGCAAGTGGTCCCGCATACAATACACTTAAGCTCGGAGTCAGACGCAGCGTTGCAGAACTCAGGGCTGGCACGGACGATCTCTGCCCAACGCAGAAGAAAGCACAACCCCAGCTTGGGTGGGGCATTGTGAAGCACGATTTGTGCCAGCTCTTGGGCCCATCTTCCAAATATTGACCCATTGCTTTGGGTATGGCAGCACAGGCAAGCACGGGAGGTTCCGCTGCAAGTAGTTTGGAACCTGACGGCGACTGACAAGTAGGTCATGTCTTAGAGATCAGTGCGCGTCTTCAAGAACAATTACCAACATGGGCATGTGCACATGCAGTAGCAAGGAAGTTTTCAAGTATACCGAAGAGAGCAAAAGGATCAGGATGGCGACGCAAACATATGGGAACGAAGACCGCCTGGAAAGGCGTTGTATATGCACGTGAGACTGCAACTCGCGCCACTGCCTGTTGAGATGAAGCTCATGAAGAGTTTTGTCAAGAAGAGACCACAGCCGCGACCAAACATAACCATGAGGAAGATAGAGTTGCAATTGTGGAGCAATCAATCGGCGTGGTGGAGTAAATCGACAAAAAAACAATGCCCGAGCTCCAAAAACCTGCAAGAGCGAATGACACAGAGCGGGCAGTATCATCCAAACAGTGATTGTTCTTTGCGCAGTACCAATTCATTTCCCACATCTTGCAGCACAAGACAATCGCCATCGAACTCAGCAAACATGTACAATTGCCAGGGGCTTGGGTCAGCTGAAAGAAATGCCCTGCCGTCAACATGCCTGACGTTGCATAAGAAAGGCAAGAAGAATGTAGGAATTGTGGATAGCTTTTGCGACAAAACACGTCTTGCACTGCTGCCATGCACGCACATGGAATTGGAGCGAATGGCGAGCCCATGCTGGCCGCAAGCTCTGAGCCCCAAGATTCCGGAGAAGAGGCAGTGGATGCAGTGGATGTGCAACTGGAATGGCAAGACGCAGCCGGCAGCCAGAGTTGCCAGTTATGTGTAGCCTCCACGACAACACTCGCGGATTTCAAAGCGCATTGCGCGCACCGGCTGCAAGTTGAGCTGGTCCACTGTCCGGATTTCAACGATGAGATGGACCACCAGCAGCTCTGCGAGCTTGGCATAGGCCTTTCCGGCTTCCAGCAGCAACGTTTTCGTCTTCGATTTGTGTGCCTTCAACTCTGTATTCGTAGGCAAGTTCAGCCTGCTCGCTGCCAGCTCCGAGTGCTGTGTAGGTCTCTCGGAAGTGCCGGTGCTGTTGGATCTCGGCCCTCCCCGGCTGGAAGCAAAAAGTAAGCCGAGTGCGTCGCCCTCTGCGCCTGCCGCTGCCAGGCATGGCCCTCATTCTGCCGTAGCTTTGAGTGATGATTGAGCGGCCGTAGCTTCGTATCTTCGTCTGTGGCCTGGCTTGATCTCGGAAGGAAGGGCCGTGCGCCTTTGGCAGTTCGCCAGGCGGTGGCAGATGCTTCCGACATACGCGAGGGCTGGCTTTTCCTGGGAGGCCAAATGGCCGCGAGCAGCCTGGACGGTTTGCAGCAGATAGGCATCACGCACGTTATGAACTGCTGTGAGCGCGTTCCCTGCAAATTTCGACTCTTGGCCCGTCAGTCTCAGGGTTTGGAGATCGTGTGAAACTGAAAGGGCCCATGAGTGGCGACTAGGTGAAATGGTCTCTCCCCGGAAGCAGCATTTCAGCTGCCCTGTCATCTGAGGTCCCAGGATCACCTACAAGACAGTGGCTGTCATGGACACAAAAAGTCCCCTGGCTTTGGGGTTTCCGCGAGCTTGGCTTAGCAGAGTGTTCGTCGTCGCTTTTTGGGTAGACAGTGAAGTCTGCACCCGATATCCTGAGAGTCGCAGACCGAGGCTCTGACATCCGAGACTTCATACCGGAAGCTGAATTCAGCAAAGAGTAACACCTATCTCACAAGGCGGTTCATGTCATAACTCAGTGAACTAGGTGACAGAGTCACAATTGATTCTGACTCCTGCGTCAATTGCGGGTTAGGAAGCTTTGGCTTTCATCGACGATGTCGTCGCTGCTGGTGGCAAGATCTTGGTCCATTGCATGGTCGGGGCATCGCGAAGCGTGGCTTTGGTTCTGGCATGGCTGGTCGCACGATGCCAGATGCCCTTGAAGCAGGAGCTGTTGTGCCGCATTGTTTGACATATCTCGTGCAGTGCAGTGGTTGGTGCTGTGGACCTGGAGTGTCTTGCGAGGCCTTTCAGGAGGTGAGATCAAAGAGACACCAAGCAAGACCAAACCGCAGTTTCTGTGAGCAGCTGATGGAGTTCGAGAAAGATACACTTGGCAGTTGCAGTGCGACTCTCGCAGATTTTCACCACAAGTAGTTTTCGAGTAGGGCCTTCATGCACCGATCGCCTTGACGTCTACTGAAGCCTCGAGCTTTTGTCAAGCTCACTGGGTCGTTTCACCAACGTGCACGCGAACATCCTGGATAGAAAAATCTGGATGAAAGATGATTAAAGCTGGAATGAGAAACTAGGAGTTTGGGATGCCAGCTCAGGTTTGCTTCTGCCCAGATCCAAAGCACCCGGGTTGCAGATTATGAAGCTAGATCTATCGCGGCATCTGCTGCAGGTCGGGTTCCATGTTTGGCCCAGGACATCAGGTGCAGCTTTCACTCCGATTTTCGAGTCATCCAGCGGCGGAAAGAACTTCGCCTCAGTCAATGCTGGAAATCCGAAGAAGTTGAAGGCCAGCAAAACTTTGGTATTCCTCAGTTTGCCACATGCGCACACGGCTGTACAGCCATCAGTTTGCATGCTGAGGTAGGAGGTGGAACAATCAACGGGCAGTTTGCACAGGATTGCTTCAGTTGAATTTGGTTGCGCAGCTGTGTGCAAACGGTTTTGCGGCCGTGTGCGTCCGTGGAGGAGCTGCGCCGGGTGGCTGGTCACGATCCTGACAGTTACAGTCCAGCACACGAGGCCTGTCGTGTTGTGCTGAACTTTCGACGGATGGGAAGCATTTAAGGGCTCAACATCGACCTGAAAACTCTGGATAACGTCGGTGTCACAACGCTTAGACTTGTAAGAGGGGTGACGAGCAATGCGAGAAATGATGGCAGCAAGATGCGATTGAAGAAAGGCAAGAGTAGCAGGAGCAGGACAATAAATTTGTACGAGTAGCCAGAAGAGGAAGCAGAAGGAGTAGTAAGACTACTTAAGAGTGGCTGCTGCTCGGTGGGGCAAGACTTTCAGGCATTCAGGCTTCAGGCCACTAACTGACTGATAGCACCTGCTTGCATGCATGTATGTGCACATATGTGGAGACAAACGGTCGAGATAGATGCAGGCTCTGCTTCGCGTGGCTGTTCAGGCAGGCACGGCAAGGCGACCTTGGGCAACTTTTGGCGAGGAACGTGCAAAGTTCCATACACGAAGTTCAGTCACTTGCGGAACACTTCTTCTGAGCTCGCAGGGTTGTGTCAGACAGCCACGAACGATCTTGCCGGCAGCGCCGTCGATGTGTCCAACACATTCCAAACACCTGATACCTGATGCGATCTCTGCCAGCCGATCACGGCCCGCCGCAGGGCATGAAATCATCCTGCGCAACAGGCATGGCCTGGTTCAAGCCCCTGCTTCGCTGCGGTTGCCACCATGCCGCGACCCCAAGTGTTTGGCGACAAAGTGCGGAGAGGACAATGAGATTTAACTGTGCTTGTCGAGGTTTGGAGGCTGCCTTCATCTACCTAGGAAGGACACCTCCCGAGGCCTGGCATTGCACGCGGTGTGTGCCGGTCGACACGACTCGTTTCCGAAAGCTCGCATTTTTTCTGGACGTGGCTCGTGCCGGAGGCTGAACAGATCGCGGGCGACTCCGGCCGGGGTGGTCTCGTGATTCTGGACAGCTTGGCGGCAGCAAACGTCCAGAATTCAATTTCAGAAATACAGAATTGCTGGAGGGCTTGTGCCACGTAGACTTGCTGCCCAGGTAAAGAGCAGTTCAGTCCAAACTGCGAGGACATCTTCGAGACGAAGTCACGGCCGTACCATGACCAGAACGTGGCGATGGTGTGCTTCAGCAGCGATCAGCTGGCATTGTGAGGGAATGGGGTCGGTTGATTCATTATGATCACGTGCCCCTGTGCCGGAGGTACACAGTAGGTCCCCAACGGGGATTCGAGCCTGATGATGCGACGTTTCTGTCGACGCTGGGATGCAAGTGACAATGTGGGGCGGAAATGAATTGTAGAGGAGGCTTGAAGCGCAAGGTTGTGCACAGGGGAGCGTTTCATCTTGCCTTCGATGTGGCCAATACAAGTACTCTGTCCTGGATTCGTTCGACGGTGCAGACAGAGAAACGCCTAGGAAAGTGCGCCTAGTCGGCCGCAATGTTGCAGCCGCTTGCCACGACTACAACGTGCAGCGGTCGCACTGCTCTCAGCTTATTCGAACACTCGCTTGCCTTGTGTTCAACTGGTTGACGGCCTGAGCTGAGCTTAGGATGGTGAACATAGATAATTACGTGCATCCGGGCATGCCTTCTTACTTTCTAGCATTGAACCGCAGGGCAGCTTCGGTCCGAGCCATATGCTACTCCTCCGCGTGTAGCAGTCAAACTTGAAATCGTTATGACTACAAGCAGTCACAGACCTGCCTTGCACGCTGCTTTCTCCTGTTAAGCCGTTAAGCCAGAGCCACGCCATCGGTAGTGCGATTTTGTCGGAGGTCGAGCCACATTATTCCCCCCATATCATTTCCGATTTACATTCACCTGCATTTGCCAAGAGTTGGCCCAGATTAGGCCTTAGATGTATTGTATCACGCATGTTTTTGCCTTCCGTTTGAATCCACTTCATCGTCTCTCGCTTCAAACTATCGAGGAAACAGTTTCGTGGACATGCCTGGTTGCTTTCCTTATTAATAGCTAAGTTATTCTGAGTGAGGATTAAAGCACCACAACCGCAATCTTGCTCTGAACGACATCGATGGCGGGAACGGACTGGAGATCCGCGTGTGGGGAAGTGTCACCAGCTGGACCAACTAACTTCGCATATCTTCGTGTGGTCAGAATCGCAAATCGTCATCGCACTTCACATCGGATGGTTTTTGTGTGTGCGAGTCATTCAAGTTTACATAATGCTTCTCGCATTGAGAGTAGTGCGCCTGTATTCTTGAAAGAGTGCAGATTGTCATGCTTGATCAGAACAAGTGAGTGTATGATTCCTCCACATCGCATCGCAAAGCCAAGTCACTGTCATGGCAAGTCCGTCACGTTTGACTTGGACTTGTGGTGTACGGGTACGTCTGACCCAGGTTTTCCAAGCTCCATTGTTGCCCGAATCTAGAGACCCGATCCATGCCAACCCGAGCCTGAGGGTGATGATAATGATGATAATGGTGATGATACAACAATCACAGCGATGGCTGCAGCACAACCGATTGGTGACGGCGTTGAGCAGACATGTTTCGGTCCCTGCATCTTGTCTGTGCATGGCTATGCATGGCTTGCACAACTTTGTATTTGGCTCCTGTCTAACTGTTGCGTTATAACTCTTATCACTTCTTCTTGTAGAACATTCGCTTGCCTTGTGTTGAACTAATTGCAAACCTCGCCGACGAAGTCGCCATGAGGTCGCAGGCGCCGGCAATCGACCAGGTTCGCCTTTGTTTGGTCAGCGGAGGCAAATTCGCCGAGCGAGTGCCCAAGGAGCGCCAGAGCTGGCCAGCGTGTCCGTTTGGAACTGGAAGTTTGCAGAGTTGTGCTCCTTGCAGGAGCATGTGGCTCGACAGCTCGTGCTCGGCGTGATGGATGTGCAGCTGGCAGAGTGGATCAGACCTGAAGCCATGCCTGAGATCGAGTTCGCCTACGACGGTGATGTGTTCCGCGTCTTGCCTGATTTGAACGTTTCAGCTGCGCAAACTTCTTGTATTTAAATTTGTGGAACCTCGACCTCATGACAACGGTGTTTCTTGCAGGTAAAGAATGGGACGCCGTGGTCGAGAGAACCTGATGCTTGCTCATGCCGGCCGGTATTGCAGCGAAGAAATACGCACGCAGATGCGCACGTTTGCCGGTCGGAAAAATGGGCAAGTTTTTGCATCGAGAATGAACTCAATTACCGTCAAGGTCAGGGAGTCGGCTCCGCATGCATGTGTTACACGGGGCCCGAATTCGTGACAAGTTCGTTTTGAGGAGCATGCTCAGGTTGAGGCGGCGGGAATGTTGAGGGCTGGGAGCGAGAGAGAGAGAGAGAGAGAGAGAGACAGGCGGGGGCGCTGACGCGCGCGGGTGAGGGGAGCTATCCCCTCTCCCTCAACCCTTGAGAAAGAAAGAGGGGAAGTGGGTGTTGAAGTGAAGAAAGATGGCATGCACAGATGTGCTTGGGTCACGCTTGCAATCAGTGGCACTTGTGGGCTGACGCCTCGTGCCGTTTCATGAAGTGTGATCACATATGTATGCCTAGCCAGTCGCCAAGCCTTTCGAGCTGTTGCACGACGTCACGGAACTGAACGGAATGTGAGTCAGCCGTAAGTGCTGCCAAGGCCACAGCCCCGCACGAGGAGCGACACGGAGCTTCCATAGCTGGCATGGCAAGACAGAGTCGCGCGGCGAGGGAAATATTTCCCTGGTTTTTCCAGTGTGGCGTAGTCTCACAGGAACCTGGCTAATGCGCTGCAAGTGACAGCGCTTAGGAGGCAAAGGAGGTTAAAAAAACGATGTCCTCGGCCATGGCGGGCATTTGGAAGGCAACTTTTTGCGGCGTGTGCCTCTGTTGATGCTGGCAGACGCAGCTGGTTTAAAGTGGAGGGTCAGCAAGAGCGTCAGCTCTCGGTCTTTGGCGCCATGGAACCTGCTCTGTCGAAGTGTGCCGTGCGAACCAAGCTCTTCCTTTCCCTTTCGGTTCATGTGGAGTAGGGGGGAGGGCCATCGGCTGCCTCGCGGGAGGTGCGGGGGGGCGGATTCTGTGGAGTCTGCTTGTCGTGGTGTGGTGGCTCTGGGCTCTTGGGGAGCGCTAGGAGCTGGGACGTTCGGCCAAGGATGCAATCCAGCGGGTCAGAAGCCGAGCGCTTTCAGAGTCCGGGCTGCCTTGGGACCCATTGGCAACTAAGGATCGGAAGAGCCGGCTCTGGATCCAGCCGTCGGCATCCGAGTCTGCCCTTGCAGCTTGAACTGCCATGCCAAGAGAGTGAGGCCCGGCCTCCGCTGAAGCACAGGCACATTAAATATCCTATAGCACAGCTTCCGTTTTGTTGATCCCGAGCTCGACGCACGTTGCAGGGCGTTCCAGCACCAATGCCAGTTGGGCTTCTCAATCGAGTGTCAGTTGCTCAGCGTGGACACTCGTACAGCACCAGGGCCTGGCCTGAAAAACCCTTGGAGCCGAGAAGCCGATTGTCCGGATTTCTGTCCACATCCTTTTGTTTTGGAAGCAGTGTTCCGCAAATCTTACCAAATTACATTTCAGGCAGAGCCTCGAAGCGAGACTCGAGGACGCGGGCAGGGGGCCGCACGTTTTTTTCTTGTTGTGTCGAGTCCAACTTGGAATGCCGTGCTCGTGCGGGAGAGTGGCAGATAACTTTCGAAGCGTGCGCTGCAAAAGGCTCGAGAAGACTGGCAAGCGGATTCTCGTAGACAGCTGTGAGTTACAGACGCCAGCATGATCTTCGCACACGAGGACATCTTGAATCAGTCTTCTGGCCGCACGTGAGCTTCTGCATGATACCGGTTCTCGGCCCCCTCCCATGGCGTCTCCTCCCCCCCGGCATGGCGGCTCCGAAACCGTCAACTGGCACGAGGATCTTGTCCAAAAAAACCCGATCCGCGTGACAGTGGACACTTTCCAACCATCACTCCGACATGAGGGTGGACATGAGGGTCCAGCCCAAGAAAGGAGCATGATGATGATGATGATGATGAAGATGATGATGAAGATGACGGTGATGGTGATGGTGATGCTGTTGCTGCTGATGATGAAGATGAAGAAGAATAAGAATAAGAAGATGATGATGATGATGATGCCAAACAGCCCAGCGGGACCCATACCGGGAACCGCACCACACGGGACAGGGAGCCACTCCAAGCAGACCCAAACCCCGAACAACACGAACAAACACAAGAGAACACCACGGGGGGGAGGTGAGAACCAAAACACAGTGTGGGCGAAGGGGGTACCAACCATCGTGGGGGGGGGGCCGGCAGCACCGGGATCATACATGTGTCAGTGTCAGAGCTTCGCTGGTTGATTGGAATTGGAATCCGCACTAAGGAAGCCCATCGCATGGTTCCCAGGCATGGCTGGCTCCTGCGGACCTTCCAAAGACTACAAGTCAGACTGGAACCGTTTCTTCGCCAAGTGTAGCACAACTTGCAGAGCATTGGCGATCCAGTCTTAAACTTGGGCCTGCCGGTCGGTTCTGCACAAGTCCCGACAAGGTTTTGAAAGCCAAGCCAGCACAGTTCCTCCTGATCCAGCTGAGCACTATATGCGGTCGATTAGACGCGGCCTGAGAATCGGAGACTGCGTAGAGTCTGCGGAAACATGGGTTCAAGCTCTCCAGCCACGAAAGATGTGTGCATGTCAGGCAGTGACAGTGCAGAGAGCGAGCGGCCAAAGGAGTACCGGGTGGAGGAGGAGGAGTCTGAGGAAGCGAAGGCACGTTGCGCAGATCAGGGGGTGAAGCGAAGCCGCTCGAGGTCAAGGGAGGCAGAAACGTCAGTGAGCCCATGCAGCACTCAGGCCATCTTTAACCTGGAGGAGTACGATGACGAAAGCGCATCCCTCCTGCAAGACTTCGGCTTCGAGGGCAACTTTGCTTCTTGGACACGGGAGATGACGGAGTCTGCTGGCTTCGTCGGCAGTGCGGTCGTCATGCTGTTAGTTGTCCTTTCACTGGCGAGTTCATGGTCCTCGACGGCCGGCTCGATCTGCTTTGCATTGGCCAAAGTGGTATTGATCCTCGCATGTTTCAGTGGCTTCTGCATGCACCAGCTTCAGCCAGTTAAAGCGCACCCAGAGGCTTCCCCATACACGACCGAAGGGGCCAGCTGAGAGTGGGTGCGGCGCTTTTTGTAGAAGCCGCAACCTGCATTTCTACGTTCTTTATCAAAGGTACAAGCCAAGTCGTGTGCAGCACACCTCCAGGCGACCACAACATTCGTGTGTTGCTCTGGGCTCTTTTTCAAAGTGCGATCTGCATACATTTGAAGCGGAGGTGAAACGGCCCTATCCTTCATGTCGAGTAATAACGAGTAGTAGTATTGCTCATGGGCTCATGGTACAGACTACATGACCCGTGACGTTTGGCATTCCGACATGCCGACTGCAGAAGGCAGTCCCAGAGTTCCTTCGGTTTTATCCCTGTTGAGTACTTTTGTCGTTTCTTTGAGCTTTGCTTGTGCGACCTTGAACCATGGCGTCAGCAAAAGGTGTCGTTTGTCAGGCAATCTCTGATCGCTCGAACTTGCAAGCCTTGAGCCTGTGGAAGGAAGTCACTGACAAGTGCACACGGCTGCAGTCTCAGGTTGCATTCAGCTGGTGTAAACGAAGGAAGGAATGGTCTGCCGTTGCGTGTTTGAAGCAGGGTCGAAGCTGGCCACTGACAAGGATAAGACAGGGAGTCAGCAGGCAGTGTTGATCATTGGATAGAGTTCTCAGTTCGTCGAGTCGACCGATTTTTGTTGCCATCCTGAGGTTAGAGAACGAAAACAGCAGTTTGCGAGACTGGGCTTGGAGCCTTGAGTTTTCCAGCGCACCATACAGTGGTTGGGCTGGGCTGCCAGACAGCATGACGTTGTCCTGAATGACGAGGGTTCTTCGCAGATTCTGTTGCCCGCTTTAGCAAACTTTAGCCGTATTTGACCATGTCATACCATGTCATTCTCGCATTCGGCGCTCACGACCGTCTTCGGATGTTACTTGAGCGCCGTCGAGATAGCTCTTCCAGAAAACAAGTGGCACGTCAAGAGAGAGATACGGTCCAGAGTAGGAACTCGCAGGTGGGGTCATGTTAGAGCCGTGACGTTCATGGCGCTGGTGTCGGCGGGTGCTTGCCCACCCGCACTGCTCGGTGGCCGTGCAGTGAGTCGGCTCAGCGGGAGGTATCTTGGATGGATGAGACCCAAGTTTCGCATGTCTCTAGCTTTGCCATGCCTTGCCAGGACCAAGACGTTTGCTCGGAATGGCTTCGGCAGCGGAGGCTTTGCAATAGGCTTGCAGCCGGCATGGATTTGCTTCGACGGTGTGATGTGAGACGTAGCAAAAACTGTCTGACAAGGGTTTCTCGTCCTCCTGTCACGAGTAAAGTCTGCCACCAGCCTGCTGAGTAAGGAGGAAGAGGTGCACGGGCATGAAGCTCAGAGTGATAACGCTGCAATGCAGGCTCGCTGGTTTTTGCGGGCCGCATCATCGCCCGACGCCGTCATTCGCAGATATACTCGCCATCTCTGCTGGGCATTCCCTCCCGCAGCTGGGGCATGCAAAGCACGCACGGATGGTGCGTCTGCAGGCTTGGCAAGCTGTCACAATCTGATCGGGACGATGCCGCTGACTTCGGGGCACGACACCGTCCGGACCCAGAAACATTTCTCCAATTGAGCCCATACTTCTGGGATGATCTGTCGGATTCTGGCCAGGAGTGGTGTGCCTTGTACATCAACTTAGCTAGGAGACCCGACCGCCGTGAAAAGCTGATGGAGAAACTGGCTGTTTCAAACGCCGAGCTTCGTCGTCAAATTCGTCGAATAGATGCTGTAGATGGAAAGTGGCTACGTCTTTTAGATGATGCGGTGGCAGAGATCGTGGATGAGTACGCTTTAGACAAGGCGAGACATGCAAGACGCCGCGGGGCTTACACTATCGTCCACAGTGGTGGGCGGCTGTTGCATTTCGACAACCACTTAACCGTGGGCGGGATTGCATGTGCTATGTCTCACCGACTGGCCCTGCAAGCACTGGTTTCACACCCGACCGCCAAATGGGGCATCATTTTGGAGGACGACATATTGGAAGTGGTGCCCCGCGTGGAACAGGTCGTGGCCAAGGCCGTTAGTAACTTGCCCGAGGATTGGGACGCGTTGTTCCTTGGATACCACGACGACGCGGGACGAGCTCACCACTCCGCCTATGAAGGCCATGGGGACGAGGCGGACGTAGCCGAGGCCCAATCCCGGGAGCGATTGCGCGTTGATTGCTTGTTCTGGTGTGTGCGGTTCTAGTAGGCCATTTCTGTGTCAGTGTCGTTTGTGGCTTGTTGGTTTGTGGCGCCTCATGCGTGGACAAGGGTCTCTTTTACGGGTGAGACGAAGCCCCGCGAAAGATGCGAAGAACTTGTCTGATCCATAGCCTTCGACGGGTCATGTCGCATCATCGCCTCCAAACCGACATGCGAAAAGGATTCCGTTCACGGACACGGTATCGCCATGGGTTTCTTCGCGAAGCCGTCTCGAATGTCGATTTTGCTTGCAAGCTGCATAATGGACTGCATGAAGCAGGTGCCAAACTGCTGGTCACGGTGGTGGCATTTCTTCTCGGTGTCGGTGTAGGTCGGTCGGAGCCGATCTTGATTCGCAGCTCGCCTCCCGACTCGACCTGCTGGAGCATGGAAGGATGCATGGGCATCAGGGATTGCAATTCTTACAACTCGTGATGCTGAAACTTAAGGATCTGTGACCCTTCGCCTCAGATTATGTTTCTCAGCATAGTCGGCTTTCTCCTGTCAGCTTCTCCTGTTGGACTCTGTCGTGTTGTTCGGAGAAGAATATGTTCATGGAGTTGAACTTCTGTCCTTGGGCATTTCAACATGCGTTGCTTTTTTGTTTCCCTTCCACTTCAGGCTTTACTCGCAAGCTTCTTGAGCGGTGCTTTTTAGGGCCAATTGTACCCCTTGAATGTACACTTTTTTGCACTATCTGTTTACATATTCACTGCTAGGGCTCATTGTGCACATCTGCATGTATCTACGAAAGAAGGTGTGAATGACATGAACGAATGACGGGCACACTGCATGACTGACTGATTGACTCACTCTTGGCTGAATGAATGAATGAATGAACCTATGAATGCATAGAATTTATGAATGAATGACATGCCATGCCATGCCATGCCATGACATGACAGGACATGACATGCCATGAGTTTAAATGAAATGAAATGAGTGAATGAATGAAACGGAATGAAATGGAATGGAATGAAATGAATGAATGGAATGAAGTGAAGTGAAATGGAATGAAATGGAATGAATGAATGAACGAACTAATGGGTTATGTTGCATGCTTGAGCCATTTTGGCTCAGGAGCGCGGCTCAATCAACCGAAGTGTGATAACACGCAGGCGCAAAGCAACAAGACGCATTACAACAGCGTAATTGTGCGCATGCATGCAGTCACGTGCACATGATTTGCATGTGTGCACATACCTGTTTTCCACAAGCTTAGAGTCTGCATGTGCTCAGAGAGATGTCCGTACAAACAAGTGCTTTCTTTGACTATACCTGTACTTGCAAGAGTCGCACGTCGTTGTTTCACTGTTCAGCGGGCCACATCGTTTAGCTACTGTTTTTCAGGGGTCTCAGTCAGTCACTGTCTTGACGAGTACCCTGCTCACGTGTACCACATGTGTGTGCCCAGTAACATACGGTAATAGCGAACGCCGCTAGCACTCTGGCCCGAACGATGTAAGCTTTTCTCCTAGCCTTCATTCCTCGATGCCATGTTTGGCAGCGACAGATCCAGCGCGGTGCCTGTCAAGGCGATGCCGCAGCGCAAGGCACCACCGCAGCATCCTTCAACACCGGTGGCGGACCGCAGCATTCACCACGCCGTGGCCGGGATCCGCGGTGGCGGCGGAGATGAACATGGAGGATCGCACAGCGATCATGGAATTCGTGGCGGCTCGCGATGCATGGTCCATCGACGACGCCGTCACCCGCCGAGCTGTCGGCGCACATGAGTGGCTTTTTCCTTGGCGGGGTGACTACGGCGAGCGAGGCGACGGGGACGACGATGCAGCAGCCCATCCCGCCAAGCAGCGACGACCTTGGTGCACCGCCGTCGGACTGAGCGGGTCAGCTACAGTTGAAGGCGGTGCCGGTCCCACCGAGCGCCGGACGACGTGGTCTCCGGGTCGGTCTTTCTGTGGGTGCCCCCTCCTCCACGCCGACGCCCAACAGGGCTACGACGGCATCATCGACGACCAGTGGCACGGCCTTCTTGGATACGGCGCCGGAGACAATGTCTCAGAAAATGCGCTGCAATGTCGACAGGATGGAGGCGGAGTCTTCGGGCATCGGGGACGTCTACGCCGACACTGAGAGTTGTCAGAGATTGTCAGAGCGCGGCGAGCGGAGGAGGTTGCCACCGCCCAGGACTGTGAATCCCAGTCGCGGCAGCTCTCGGCGAGACCTCCGGCCACGCCGAACAACTTCGCCATCTTCTCGACGACCAGCACGGCGGGACCGGAAGCGGAGGTCATCACAGGCGGCGTCGATCCTGCTGGGGATGCACAACCACAAGGCTTTTGACCCTACCACGTCGGTAGTTGAGCAGAGAGTGCCCGGAGCAACGCTGGGGCAGACCTGGACGCCGGCACCGACGGTACTTGGCCCTTTGTCCTCGATGCCGTCAACGCTTGCAGGGACTACAGCACCGCCGACGAGGACACTTGGAGAACGCCGCCCGGATTGGGTGTGTTGGCCGGTGAATTGGGAGAGCCGCCGGTGACAGCTTCGACAGGGATAAGGCACGTGGAGGCGTGGGAGATGAGCTCATCTGCGAACCATCGGCGATCCCGGGTTGGGCGGTGTCGAGGAGCAGGCGACGGCCGCCGGTCCCAGACGGTCGGCTTCACCAGCAAGCTCTCCGACGCCGAGATCGAGAAGAACCTGACGCCGGCGTACCGGACCGTGTGCATCACAGCGGGGGGCAGGGCGGACGACGGTCGGTGCGCTATCTCCGCAAGGCCGACGTCGCCGAGGTTCGCCGCTTAGAGAGCACCGCGGCCGCCGGCAAGCCGGGCTCACAGCCGAACAAGCCGCCGATCAGTGCCCCGATGTA